ACACAGAGCCGTTGTTCACTGACGAGCTGCGCAAAAAATCGTGCGAATATGAACGTGGTTTTGCGCAGCTCGTCAGTGAACAACGGCTCTGTGTAAATGCTGCTCAATGTGAAAGCACACACGTGATGGAGATTTACCGCTGATTACAGAACGGCTTTACTGACGAGATGCGCATTAAATATCGCATGCAATTTATCGTGCAGCCCTAGAAGAAACCAATGCATTTCGTTCCTTTGAGCCAAACAGGAACGATCGTTGACGCTTAGTCCCACCCCCGTGTCCAGATTGGTTCAAACTGTCCCATATTCAACCAATAAACATAGGTTTTGGTCTTTTGAAACACCATTTAGGATTTTTCATTGTAAAGTTGAACAAATGCAAAGTGAAAGTAAAGTCTGTCGTGCGTGCATGAAAACAAACACAAAATAACACATTTGCATGAGAGAACTTTTTGGAAAACAAACCAAAAACAAGGATGAAATAGCGGTACATATCGGATAAAGCACTGGAATTTATGTCTAGGTGATGTCCCGGTAAAATCGATTCCAACGCAGAGTACAGCCAGCGGATCGATCATTTATATTATGTATATTATGTAAATAATTCTTATATAGTTCATAAAGATCATTTTCACAATTGTTTCTGTTGCACTCTGTATATTTCTCACACATGTTGTGTGTAGTTTGTGAATCATTTGCACTGTTTGTATTTGTGTTGCAGAAGACAATTTGTGCAATTGTTTTCACTAAATAGCTGCAAGGTTTGTGTTTGTTGTTGTTCATACTCAGATGGAAAATATATTTCTCTGAAAAAAAGTCAAATTTTTACTGTGTTTTGTTTAACACTGATTCCATTTTCTTTACTCCCTAAATGTTTTTTGAACACATCTATATTGTTAGTAAACTAAATAGACCTGTTTTTCACTGAAAAGCGCACATAACAATATTGTAATAAATGGCTATAGCTTGGGGAATGTTATATGTAGACAACATTTTATTTGGAAGTGTAAAACACCCAGATACATCTTTCTATAGAAAAAAAATCCAAACTTCATGGGTTTGTGTTTGAGTACACAGTAAAAAAAACCACCCAATTGTTGCTTGCGTTTTCCTTAAAATTCTGGAAATTAATTCATTCTTAGAGAAAACAAAAGGAAAACTGGGACTTTAAATTTAGCTGGACTGAAACTTCAAGTTCTCCTGTTTATAATGATATATGACACTTGATACTGTCTGCTAACTTGAAATTATATTATTTCACAATATTACTGTTTTGATTACATAAAAGTAGCCTCAGTGAGCATAAGAATATATATATATTTTTAAAAGTCTTACTGACCCTGAACTTTTGAACGGAAGTGTATATTTTATAATGTAGTATTTAATTAAATTAAATGTATTTATTTTTTTTTTTTATCGGATGTATGGTCATTTCTGAATGTCGTTTAATCACAAAATAACACGCAGCCAAAAAAAAAAAAATCCAGTTACTAATATACATTTTCTGACAAAAATTATCAGTCGACCAAGATTTGAACTTGTCACCCTGCATACTTAAAATGAGAAATGTCAAACTACAACATCTCATACTGAGTGAGAGGCTGTGACCCCTGAGGGCTGAAATTGTAGATTCGCTCCTGGAAGAGACGCTGCTCTTCATGCCTCTTGTTCTTTCACATTTCTTGTCACTTTCTGACGGCCAAATTCTTGAAGTATTCTGCTACACAAGCTCTAAGGGGCCCAATGGATTACACAGTCTTGAATTTTGGGGTCTATCTGAGTGCTTATTAATATTTCATGGGCTTTGGTTTGTCCATCTAGAGTCACTGCAGCAACAGGTTGTCACTAACAGCCTTGTGTGTATTCTCTTAGGAAGGTGAAACTAGGTTCACTACAATGTATGAGTTCATTTCTTGTTCTAAAACAGTTATCATAATCACAATTATACTGTCTGCTTGTTTGTGTGTGTGTGTGAATATTTCCACAACCAAATGTGATTATGAGCAGGCCATACTAAAAGTTCTATATAGTATATATAGTATATATATTAGGGCTGTGCAAAAAATCGAATGCGATATTCATGCGCATCTCGTCAGTAAAGCCGCCTGAATTTTGAACGCAATTTTGCGTAGCTTGTCAATGAACTACGGCTCTGTGTAGTAAATGCAGCTCCATCTGAAAGCATGTGCTGGAGATTTACTACTAATCACAGGAGCGGCTTTACTGACGAGATGCGCATGAAAATCGCATTTTATTTTTTTGCATGGCCCTAATATATATTAGTGTGTCAATATTAGCGCGTTAACACAAGCGATTCATTTTTTCAGATTTTTTTCCAGATTAACACGTTAAAAAACTTTAACGCAATTAATGCAGGGGCTAGGACTAGCCACCCCACTCACAACTGCTGCTTCTGTCACTTTTTCTCTTGACAAGAAGTGCATTTATTCAGTCGCAGAACGACTGAGAACAGGAGACGTTTCAGACGCGCGCTCCACTTCAGCGCCAGGCGTGAGACAAACGAGTGCTCTTCAATTGCACGCACAAAGGCACCGGCGCGCACTGTAGCCTGTATCCTTTCATATCAAAGTGCAAAATAAACTACGTGCATGCAATGTCGTGGTATGTTAAGTCATGAAGTTACCAAAAGGCAATTAAAGCTGCCTTAAAACTGTGCATGCATGTAATATATTTTATATGAGTCACATTTAAGAACATGTCTCTGAAATGGTTTTCAAAACTGTCCTGGAGCAGCCCAGCACTCTCTCACTCATCTAACACACCCGATTCAACTCGTCAGCTCATTAATAGAGACTTTAAGACCTGAAGTGGGTCAGAAAAGGTAAAAAGAGATGAGAGAAAATATGATGCGGATCAGATCCGCGTCACATTCAGCAGCGGCAGCTCTTAAAGAAATAACAGCCAATACAACCTAATAACCAGCTGCTGTGATGTCTGTTAATCAAAGGACAAAGAAAAAAGAGAGGAAAAAGGAGCTTTTATAGCTTTAAGGATTCATATATATTTAATTTAGAATTTAGTGTTTAATAATTTCAATTTCTGTATATTTCTGCGATTAATTTCAGAAAAATGTATGATTAATTAGTATTCAGGCAGGATATAGCGACCCTTAAAATGGTTAAAGCAGTCAAACTGCAAGGGTGGTACAGTCAGTCCTGTGAGTTATAGACTGGAGAGGACAAATGCAGCGGGGCCACAGGGAGAACGGCGTATGAGGGAACATCCAGAGGCTATGCAGAATACTTAAAGTCCCTCAAGGCCAGTAGGGATTTCTGTTTAAGAAACAGATCCGTTATGCAATTATGATTTATGTATATGCAAAATCAGAATGAGAAAGTAGATGTTTTTTATTCTTTTGAACAGTTCTGCCGGACCAGCGACGGGAGAATCTAGTTAGCATTCTGGCTCACATTCATGCCACTCGTTCAATCAAGTTAATTAATGGTTAAGGGAGCACTCAACTCAGTCCTGGTTAAAATCACACATTCTCAAGTGTTTATTTCTCACACCTGCGTAACTGTTTATTAATATGCATGCTGATAAATATGTGTGTGTGCGTGTCAAACGAGGTGCTCTCACATGGTCTCACATGTGCAGTGACGAAACTGCTCTCCTAATCAGCACTGATGTAATCAGCAGGCAGCCCACCTCTCTCTTTCTCTCACTAGCTCTCTTCAAAGCCAGCACTACTAAGATGGCAGTGTACTATTCCTGCTAACAGGCCATTGCCATTAGCAGAGCTTATCTTCCAGTATGGGTATTTTGTAAATCTGCATCCACAAACTGAATTACATTAGCATGGCTTTTCTAATCAAAACAGATCAGTAGAAAACCAGCTGCTGGTATCGTATAGAAGAGCTGGAATATAGAACTCATATTCATATGCCTTAAATTATGATAGATCTATCTATCTATCGTTCTATCGTTCTGTTGGTCTTTCATATTTTATTAAGCCTTCTGAGCAGAACAACAAAAATTCTAATTGTCATCCAACTGGTTGTTTGACATTTTTGAAATGTTAAAATGTTCAGTTTTTCCAGTAAACTGACTTGCCGTAGACTTTAATGTGCTGTGTTGCCATAATGTCTTGCATCCATTTATCATGTACATAATGTGTTAAATATTGACAAATGTCAATGAAATTGTGAGTCACAATGACTTCTGATGGGTTGAAGTACTGTAAATGGGTTGAATATTATAGTATGTACAAATCAGTACTGCTGTGATTTTATTGGTGTTATGAAGTTACATTATAGATATGCTGTATAATTTCAGGCTATTACAGCAAATTGGAACCCTACATCTATATTGTAGACTTGAAAAATTAATTGAGATGAAAAATGTGTCTGAAAGAAGTCTCTTAGGCTCACCAAGATATAGAATACGGTAAAAATGGTTGTATGTGAAATATTACAATTTAAAATGTATTTAAAAATGCAGTTTATTTCAGTTTAGACTTAATTTTACAGGAATACCTTATACTTTAAAAATCTCAATGCATTTCTCTCTTACACAGTTTATTATATACAAAACACTTTACAGTTAAAACATTTTGTTTCTGTCCCATTCCAGCCCTTCCAAGCTATACCTGTGGGAATCCAGGCCAGCTGCTGAATGGCATGCAGCAGGGCTCTACTTTCAACATCGGGGATAAGATCCGCTACAGCTGCAACCAGGGTTATGTGCTGGAGGGCCACACTGTGCTCTCCTGCCTGGCCACTTCCTCCGGCACCGCTGCCTGGGACTTCCCCCTGCCGTACTGCCGAGGTGAGTCCGGGGGCTCAAAATGGGCCAGGTGGGATTGAACCTTCTCAAGAGAGACTTGAGAAAAGGTTACCCAAGTGTCTTTATCAGGGCTGACAGATATCCCAGCGTTTAGTAGCAGGTTGGCTGCGCAGTTCTATTTTTCCTGGATGAGACACAGTAGAGACCCCGGAGGTGATACCTGCCAACGTGTGAACGTGTTTTGTGAGACAGCGAGGTCACGTGGTAGCTGTTGCCTGGGGAAAAGTGATATCCAAATGCTCTCGGTCATGATACACTGAAAATATGCTGACAGTTCCAGGCCTAATATTAACACAATGTTGAGCCCCCATTGACATGCCGTGCTTACATTTTACGTCCATTCTGTTGTACACAAAGGCTCATAAATATGCATAAATGAACTGTACGTGGGCATATTCACATATTCATGACAGTCTCATAAAAACACACAGGTCTAGCAGTTAATAAAACAATGAAAACGTGCTCCACAGATAATAGCATGTATAATGTATTAGACATATTCGAGTGCAATGCACAGTAGCTATGGTCTCCAGATCGGGTGTGAGTGTTCTCTCGCAGGCCAGTATGAACCAGGGCCATCTGTGCCCAGGCTGGGGGACAGGAAGCCCACGTAAAGACACACATGCTCAGCCACGCAATGCCAGAAGAAGACCCCCACTTGCCAATGCTGAAGCTCCACTATCCTTCACTGGCGTCCTTCTGCCCCGTGTGGGGTACAGCAGGGATAATATATTTAGGGATTTTATTTTTAAACCAACTTTTTGGTTTAATAAAAGGTGACAAAGAATAAAGTAATCTCATCTATAGCCTATATAATGAAAGTAAAGTCATAAGTGATTTATAGTTATTCCTCGGACTTATACTGTAGCCTCTACGCGGTTTTCATTTATTCTTCTGCATCATTGTCCATGACAATGTGCAATTACACAGGCAGTCCACTAGTAGGCAGTGTCCATAGGAATGCTGCTGGTGTAACCTACAGTATTAAGGCAAAAGCCAAAGAAGAATCAGCTTATTTTGTACGTTGTCGGAGAAACATCGGCAGTGATGGTGATGACTTTTGTTACAGCTTGACTTGCCGGTCCATCTTCGTTTTCGCTGTAGTTATATCGCAAGCAGAAATGCATATGAAGAAATGCGACGCTATCACAGATATTTTTTTTGTTTTTTTGACCTGAAGGTGGGGTTCTAGCAGAACAACCATAGCGATTGCAGTCCGCATAGATTTGATGAGTTGTTACATTTTTGGAGAGGTGCATGTCAGGCTACGCCGTTGGTGTGATGCAAGAGTATAAATCAACCTTTAGACTTCTTCTTAATTTAGCATAATGTATTATTTTGTGGCAACCATTGCATTCATTAATTTTTTTATGTTGTTTTTTATACAAAAAGAGGAATCCTAGAGTTATCATCTCATCTATATATAGACTTCTATAATCAGAATAAAGTCATAAGGGAAGTAACCTTAACCCCCGGTTTCATAGACAAGGCTTAAGCCTTTTAGTCCCAGACTAAAATGCATGTCTGAGCTGTTTTAACTGAAAGAAACTTGCACTGACATATCTTAAAATATGTAAGTTCGGTCACACTTTATTTTAAGGTTCAATTCTCGCTATTAATAAACCATTAACTGCGACTGCGTCTAATAGTTACTAAGGTAGTTGTTAGGTGTAGGATTACGGACGTAGAAGTCATGCAGAACATGTGCTTTTTAAGTACTAATAAACAGCCGATATGTTAATAAGCATGCTAATAAGCAACTAGTTAATAATGAGAATTGGTCCCTATACTAAAGTGTTACTGTAAGTGTCATTGTAATGCACATCAGTAGTGTTTTTTCCCCCTAAGGCATGTTTATAAAAACTACTTAAATTTCCGAATTGAACTATGGCCTAATCCTAAGCCCTTTCTGTGAAACCAGGCCTACAACCTTATTACTTGCATTTAATAGGCTATAATTTGTTTAAAATACTTTTTTATTATTTTACTTTATTTTTATTTATTTTTGCTATTTTGTGGCAACCATTGCATCTATTTATTGCTGTCTTTTTAAATCTTGTTTGCCTATTTTCTAGTGCCAAATTGAGATATATATATATATATACATTTATTTTATAATTATAGACTAAGTCAGAAGGGAATTAACCGTAAACATATTTTTGTATCCTCTATCATCCTTCATGCTTTATCTCTCTTCAATTTGAATGGATTTCCAATTAATTAACCATGCGACTGACACCAAATGAAGTTCTGCTCTGTACACAAGTAGAGAAAACAGCAACTCAAAGGCTGTGGTAGCCGACAACAGATAGCTTTGTCTCTGGCTCTGATTATGGGTGGCCAGAAGGTGGCAGGAGGTTGGGTCATTTCCCTTAAAGGAGTCGCACAGTGTCAGTAAGGCTCCAGAAGCCATCTTGCTTCTCCTGTCCTCATTACTGCTTACCTTCCAGGCCTCTTCACAGTGTTAAGTCTGACTTATTTACCATTTCCTATAGAGCACACTATAAATATTTGATCTAATAGGCCTACATTATTAAATTTTTTCCCAGTTGAACATATACGTTCAGATCTCTGCATCTAAGCATCTCCACATGGTCTGTATCCTCACAGCCCTCTCAACCCCCTCATTCACTCGCACTGTGGGAATAGATTCAGTTTTCTGCATTCAAAACGTCAAAATGGCGGGCTGCTGGCATGCCACCCTCCTCTGTGGCACACTGAACAGGAATGCTCGTTCCAAAAAGAAGATAAGAGAAAACCGAGAAGTTGCAATCTCACGAACTGGTTGGATCTGTTGTTCCTCCAAAATCCTTTTCTTTTCCCCATTGTTCTTCTCTATCAGTGCTGGCTCTTGGGTCTCAAGGTGCCGCTGCACACCACTCGCTGCTGTGTTACCATGGCAGCCGCAGAGCCCGAGGAAGGCAGTATGAAGAGACATGAAACACAAGCAGACCATCTTTTGTAGGGGCTTAGATCTTTATGCATCACACATCATCCATTTATCCAGTCACTTTGACATTAAAGAGACTTCCTTGGGGCAGTTCAAAGGTCTGCTTGAGCTTAGTAAGAAAACTGATTGATTTAAACTCAAATTCTGTCACATACAGTAGTTGTCAGGAAATGGGGCAAAATGGGGTGCTTTGATACTTTTACATACTATGACAATGAATGATTGCAATGTGTACTATAGTATATTGTACATTGTACTTCATGTACCATGGCACAAAAAATGGCTTTGCTGTACTAATACTATATAGTCTTTCCAAAATGTTAATGGCAGTCAGAAGAAGAAGAAAAAAAAGGACCGTCATTCCCTCAACTGTCATAGAAGAAACTCACTCTAACGCTAACTTAATAGAATTACAAATTGTATTGTATTTAATGACAAAGTAATGTAATATAAATACTATAACATATAAAAAGTTCAGTGTTATAAATATGCATTACCGTTCAAAGGTTTGGGGTGGGTCAGATTTGTAATTTATTTTTAAATTTTTTTTTTTAAGAATTCTCTTATGCTTACAGCTGCTTACAAGAAAAAAAAACTGTAGTATTGTGAGATATTTTTACAGTTTAAAATAACTGATTTCTATGTGAATGTTTTAAAATGTTTTGTTAAATATACATTTATTTATGTGATGGCAAAGCTGATTTTTTTTAAGCAGTCATTACTCGAGCCTTCACTGCCATCCTTCAGGGATATGCTAATTTTGTGCTCAAAAAGCGTTTCTTGTTATTATCAACTATGAAAGCAGTTGTGATGCTTAATATTTTTGTGGAAACTGTGATACATTTTTTAGGATTCTTCGATGAATAGAACGTTTAAAAGAACAGCATTTATTTGAAATGGGAATCTTTTGTGACATTCTAAGAATCTTTAATGTCATTTTTTATCAATTCAGTTTATTAAAAAAAAAAACTCACTGACCCCAAACTTTTTAACAGTATTGTATGTGTAGCGAATTGTGATGGGTTGTCATTCTGACATCTGTATGCATAATGAATTGTGATTGGTCATTTGTTCCTTGCATATATGTACTCATTAAAGCCAGCACTTGTAAGCACTGGTATTTCCTTCATGAACTGTAGTTCATGTTTCTAGTCTAGAGTTGTAGTTCTAGTTTCTAGTGATGCTTTTAGGTTTTTTCAAATGGTAAATAATTTTTCACAAAGTTTATAACAACCATTTTTGATAAGATTTTGACTGGATTTATAAATGCATCATTCATTCATTCATTCATTCATTTTTGATAAGGAATTTATATTAAATAGTAAAACACAGAATCCAGAAACAAATTCAAACAGACACAGAACAGAATCTCCGTGAAAGACAACTATAACTTTAATTTTGATACATTGGTATAAAATATACATTTAATAAGTTGTTAAAGTTTAATGCATTCAATTGATTAGATATTGTAAATATTAAAATCCATTCAAATGGAATCCAGAAATATTTTAACAGAAAACTCAGAATTTGTGATAAAACAAAGCAGATTTCATAGGGTCCTAGAGAAGTTATCGATTGCATCAGTTGCTGTTAATGTTCATCTCCAGATTTCTAAGATATGTAGCTGGCAGTTTGGATAGGTCTGAGTAGGAGGATTTACAAGTGTGTGTTTGTGTAAAGGTGAAGGATAAACAGAGGTCTCTAACATGAATGGTCATCATTGTAGACACATCCCCGGAAGGAGGAATGTCAGAGGTAGCGTGCTAAAATCAATATGCAAGTGATCAGGAAGAAAAACAGTGCTGGTCTGTCAGGACCTGTTTCTATCACCCTGAGCATTTGATTGGCACAAGATGTGTCTGTGTGCTGTGCAGGACCTAGCAAATAACACTGGACACTCAGTCATCTGCCCCGCAGCAGGGTTACCCATGAATCACTCCAAAGAGCCCCTCATTCCCTCTTTATCTCCTTTAGTACAGATCCACTGAGAGGCAGAAACACTACTATATCAACATGGGTATCCTGCTCTGTA